CCATGATGTGTTTTCATATTCAAAAATAATTATAGAATACACTTGGTGTTTATAGTGTTAAACAAAAAATTCTCCATATACCATACTAGACAATCATTCAGGAACTTATCGCATATTCGATTTGTAAACTTGTTCTTGATGTAACCCAAAGCTGAAAGACTCTTCAGCACTTGCCGTACAATCATAAAATCAATACAAATTAAGGGTAGATTGAAATTAGTTTAGATTGAAATAATTAGAGATAGGGAATGACTTTTTACTATTACACATTGTTCAAAATCGAACAACAAATGAATTGTAGCTCAACGGAAATTAAGTTTATTAATAATATTAGTGTTCTAGATTTGAATTACTCAACCTAACATTTATATTTTTATACACAAATGACAGTAGGATAATCATGTTTTAAAATTTCAGGGGTGTCCCTCACTATCATTTTTTTTTTGTCTATACGTAAATGACCACCGGGGGTTGGATAATCATTTTCCCAAAATTTAGGGGTGTCCGGGGACACCCCTAAAACCCCCTGGGTCCGCCCCTGGGTGGAGGTTTCCGAGGAATCCAAATAACCTCGGTTTTTTCCCAGATCTGGATAGCTTCGGGAATAACTAGTGAATTACAACTTTGTTGTACCGCAATTGGTGCATTGGTATTTGCAGCCTTAATGCTTTTTGCTAGTTGGTTCTATTATCACCAAGCTGGTCCAAAACTGGCTTGGTTCCAAGATGTAGAATCTATGTTGAATTACCATTTAGCAAGAATACTAGGACTTTGGTCTCTTTCTTGGGCGGGGAATCAAGTACATGTATCTTTACTAATTAACCAATTTCTAAATGCTAGAGTATATCCTAAAGAGATCCCACTTTCTCATGAATTTATCTTAAACCGGGATCTTTTGGCTCAACTGTATCCCAGTTTTGTTGAGGGAGCAACTCACTTTTTCACCTTGAATTGGTCAAAATATTCGGAATTTCTTAATTTTCGTGGAGGATTAGATCCAGTAACTGGGGGTCTATAGCTAACCGATATTGCAAACCATCATTTAGCTATTGCAATTTTTTTCCCTTATTGGAGGTCACATGTATAGGACTAACTGGGGCATTGGTCACGGTGTAAAAGATATTTTAGAGTCTCATAAAGGTTCATTTACAATCCAGGGCCATAAAGGCCTATATGAGATCCTAACAACATCATGGCATGCCCAATTATTTCTTAATCTAGCTATGTTAGGTTCTTTAACCATTGTTGTAGCTCACCATAAGTATTCCATGCCCCCTTATCCATATCTAGCTATTGACTATCGTACACAACTGTCAATGTTCACGCATCACATGTCGATTGGTGAATTTCTCATAGTTGGTGCTGCTGCGCATGCAACCATTTTTATGGTAAGAGACTATGATCCAACTACTCAGTATGACGATCTATTAGACTGTGTCCTTAGGCATTGCGATGCAATTATATCACATCTCAACTTGGTATGCATATTTTTAGGCTTTCACAACTTTGGTTTATATATTCATAATGATACCATGAGCGCCTTACGGTGACCTGAAGATATGTTTTCAAATACAGCTATACAATTACAACTTTGTTTTGCTCAATGGATACAAAACACCCATGCACAACGGCTCCTGGTGCAACAGCAAGCACTAGTTTAACTAGGGGGGAGGTGAAGGTTGCTTTGTTACCTATTCCATTGGGAACTGCCGATTTTTTGGTCCATCATATTCATGCGTTTACGACTCATGTGAATACTCCTAAAACGAGTTCTATATGTCCGCAGCTTTCATTTGATATCAGATAAGCAAATCTTGGTTTTCGCTTCCCTTGTGATGGACCTGGAAGAGGAGGTACATGTCAAGTATCTGCTTGGGATAATGTCTTATTAGGGTTATTTTGGATGTACAATTCAATTTTGGTCGTAATTTTCCATTTCAGTTGGAAAATGCAGTCAGATGTTTGGGGTAGTGTCAATGATCAGGGGGTGGTAACTCATATCATAGGTGGAAATTTTGAAAAGAGTTCCATTACTATTAATGGATGGCTTCGCGATTTCTTATGGGCACATACATCCCAAGTAATTCATTCTTATGGTTCTTCATTATCTGCATATAGCCTCTTCTTCCTAGGTGCTCATTTTGTATGGGCTTTTAGTTTAATGTTTCTACTCATCGGTCATGGTTATTGGCAAGAACTTATTGAATCAATCTTTTGGGCTCATAATAAATTAAAAGTTGCTCCTTCTACTCAGCCTAGAGCCTTGAGCATTATACAAGGACTTGCGGTAGGGGTAACCCATTACCTTCTGGGCAGGATTGTGCCCACTTATTATGGGTAAGTGAAATCTTTATGCTCAAAATCCTGATTCAAGTAGTCATTCATTTGGTGCTTCACAAGGAGCAGGAATTGCAATTTTAACCCTTCTCGGGGGGTTCCACCCACAAACGCAAAGTTTATGACTGACAGATATAGCACACCACCATTTAGCTATTGCATTTATTTTTTTCATTGTCGAACATATGTATCGAACTAACTTTGGGATTGGACACAATACAAAAGATATTTTACAAGTACATATTCCTTCCAGGGGGCGTTTGGGGCGTGGCCATAGGGGTCTTTATGACACAATCAATAATTTGCTTCATTTTCAATTAGGTCTTGCTCTAGCTTCTTTAGGGGTTATCAGCCCAACACATGTACTAGTTACCTGCTTATGCGTTCATAGCGCAAGACTTTACTACTCAAGCTGCATTATATACTCATCACCAATATACTGCAAAATTCATCATGACATGAGCTTTTGCTTACGGAGCTATATTTTTCATTAGATATTACAATCCAAAGCAGAATGAGAATAATGTACTTGGCAAGAATGTTATAACATAAAGAAGCTATCATATCCTATTGAAGTTGGGCCAGCCTCTTTAAGGAATTCCATAATTTTGGACTTTATGTTCCTAATGATGTCATGCTTGCTTTCGAGACTCCGGAAAAACAAATCTTGATTGAACCTATATTTTCCCAATGGATTCAATATGCTCATCGTAAAACTTCATATGGGTTCAATGCACTTTTATCTTCATCGCAACCTTAAATGCAGGGCGAAGCATATGGTTGCCCTACTGGTTAAATGCTATTATTGAAAACAATAATCCATTATTCTTAACAATAGGGCTTGGAGACTCTTGGTTCATCATGCTATTGCTCTAGGTTTACATACAACGACATTGATCTTAGTAAAGGGCGCTTTAGATGCACGTGGTTCTAAGTTAATTCCAGATAAAAAGGATTTTGGTTATAGTTTTCCTCGCGACGGTCCGGGACGGGGTGGTACTTGTGATATTTCAGCTTTGTTCACATTTTATTTAGCGATATTCTGGATGTTAAATACGATTGGATGGTTAACTTTTTATTGGCATTGGAAACATATCACTTTATGGCAAGGTAATGTCTCATAGTTTAATAAATCCTCCACTTATTTGATGGGTTGGTTAAGAGATTATCTATGGTTAAACTCTTCACAACTAATTAATGGGTATAATCCCTTTGGTGTGATAGTTTATCGGTCTGAGCTTGGATGTTCTTATTTAGACATCTTGTTTGGGCTATTGGATTTATGTTCTCATTCTCGTGGCTAGGTTATTGGCAAGAATTGATTTAAACGTTAGTGTAGGCTCATGAACGTACACCTTTGGCTAATTTGATTCGATGGAGGGATAAACCAGTAGCGCTTTCAACTATGCAATCAAGATTTGTTGGATTAACCTAATTTTCCATAGGTTATATCTTTACTTATGCAGCCTTCTTGATTGCCTCGACATCGGGCAAATTTGGATAATTCTGTATCCATGATAAAATAGTTCTTGCTATAGAGAAAACAATTTTTTCTATTTCTACATCTAGGATGTGACTTGTATCAGCAATACTAATAGGAAATTCATGAAAATTTACAATCCCCACTGCGAAATAGTGCACCAACACGTCTTCATCGACGTTGTTTTTCAACTGGAAGACCGAGAGCTAATTATCGAGAATTTGGATTATCCGAAACCGGGATTTTGGTCTGCGAATTTTAGAAATTCGGGTTCGGGAGTACGGTTACGTGTGGGGAAGTGTATTCACACCCCACAACGCCCCAAATGGGTACGAATTAAATCGATAAATTTTTAAGAGTTGGGTGTATTATTATTCGTGAATTGTTATGTATTTAATTAAAGAATTCAAATAATTTGGTGTTTATTATTATGATTTGGTCATACGTATATTGACGGAAATTTCGAAAGAAAAAAAGTGTTTTTGGTTAGTTGGACTCGAACCTATTGGTTGCCTACGTACCCGACTTAGTCGGGATCAAAGTCCACGTAGTTCGTTTTAAAATGATTTGTTTTGTAGAAAGTAACTAAACACGCTCTATCGACTCGTGTTTAAGTTTTCTTATAGACCTTTCGATGAAGGCAAATATTTTGATTTTTTATCTTGTAATTGAGCACTTTATAAATTTTGAAATAATTTGGCTTAATAAATGATCACAGTCTATTGACCGTGATTTCGTATTAAGACATCTTTTAGAGAAAAAAAAGGTTTATGATATTTAGCACATTCTAATTATTTGAGTTATGGTGTGATGTTGGAACTTGAAGATATACTACGATATTTCCGATATTTCAATTAAATGATTGATGAGATTTGAAATAACTTGGTCGAGGACGATTATCACAATTTATTGGTATTATTTTTTTATAAGAGTTGTTTAGGAAAAATATGTATTTTTGCATAAAAAATCTGAATGTTAGATACCCCTTGGGTATAAGGTTAATCGAATTAATCCTAAACTAAAGATTCGATCACGTTTAAACTTTACGTATTAAGGATGTTGAATAGTTAAAATTCAAAGTGAAAACTAAGAGTTCAAGTGGCAGTCGATCAGCCTAATCATTTTGTATGTTTACTGAAATCAGTGTTGAATGTAAAGTCGACGTATCGAATCCTAACAGCGACTTATATTTTAATTCTCTGTTTTGGACTCCTCGGGTCGTTTTAAAAAGGAAGGTGGCAAAGATTTAATTTTCAAAAAATCGGAGGGGTAGCTTGGTCATTTCGTGGGTCCGGGTATATGGATCGTTTTTGGGAGAAACCCTAGCCCCTTTGCTATGCAGATCGGCCGCCTCCCTCACTCTCTCTCTCTCTCTCTCGTTTTCTCTGTAACCCCAGAAATCGACGCCCTTCCTCTGAAAACGACAGACAAAAGAAAACCGAAAAATGCCTCTGATCTCCCACTCCTCGCACCTCTATGCTCTCATCGCTCTCTGGATCCATCTTTCCCTCTTCTGTTCGACTCTTCTTCTCACCCCTTCTTTCCCTTTTCTGGTAATGACAACGACAAAGGAAAAAGAAGGGAAAACGACGGCGGCGACGAGAAACAGTGAAGATTGTCCCGGCGGCGAAGGTAAGATGGTTTTCGAGCATGAGGAGCAAGGAAGAAAAGCAAAACGACAACGACGAGGGAGAAACAACGGTGGTGGACACCGGTGATGACGATCGAATGACGACAAAGGTAATAGTTTCATTTGGGGTTTGCATGTCGTTTTTGGGTTTTCATTTGGCGATTTTGATTTATTTGGATTTAGGGTTCTGACTGTGTTTTTTAATTTGATTTGTTGAGTTCTGATTTATAGCAGAAGAAGAGAGGCAGACAAGTGAAGGAAGAAGAGACCGCTGCCAATAAATCTATGTTTCGTCGGCGGCGTCAACAGTGGCGAGGTTGACTTTGGTTTTGGTAAGCCTTTTTTGTCTGTTTGTTAGCCATATGAGGTAGGTTTACGTTGATTTTGGGTTAGGAGTAAAAATGGAATAGCGTGTATCTGGTCTAGCTTCAATGTTTTGAAGTTTTAATGATTTAGGGATCTTGTGTTTGGGATGTGGTTTTGACGAGTTGAGGGTAATGGTTGATTCTGGGAAATCTAGTTTATGTGGGTTTGTTGATTAATTACATTGATCATATAGGGTGCTTGGATTAAACTTGCATAAACAACTTTGCCATGTAAAGAAAGAGACAATGACAATCCAGTATAATAACACATGAGAAAGATAAAAGAGCATGAATATGTCAGATGTCCTTTTTACTTCTGTTATGGTTAGGACTTTGGATAGTATAAAAATATATTTAAGCAATTAGTAGTATGAGTAGATCTGGTTTCGTTTGATTTAGTAGAAAGGGTTCTAAACAAAATCTGACTTTAGGTTTAAGTAAAAGTGGGTCATTTGTAAGATATGTAGATTTCAATCTGTGTATGATATGTAGATTCTAGTTTAACTAGGATCACTACTATTGCTTGTGACCATAGTTTTATGAGAAGTCTGAATACTTGAGATTTGAGATGGGTTTTGAGCTTTGGCTATAGTTATGAGGTGATTTTAGATGGTTTGTAATTCTGGAAATTTCTGTTTTAAGTCTAGAAATCTGGTATATGTATGTTTGCTTATGATACTGAAGGGCTTTAGATTAGAGGGAGCCTTTCTCATAAACGAATTTCAAAATACCTTCCAAAGATCGAGTCTTGTTTTTCTCCATATTTCTGTTTATTTGTGTTTGTCGAATCGGTTTTGGTTTCATGTTTTTTATTACCATTTTCAATCTTTCAAGTGGGCTAAATTACACATTTGGTCACTCGAATTACTTAAACATTTCACGTTTGCCACCCAAATTCATTTTCTTTCAATGTAACCACTCACTTTACGAATCGTTTCACCGTTGGTTACCCTCCGTCAGTCTCCGTCAGACTCTGTTAACGCCGTCAGATTTTTGATGACGTGGCAAACGGAAGTGCTGACTGGGCTGACAGAGAGGCTAAAAAAGACGGCTTTGACTGCCTAGTCAGCCACATACCCGACCCAGCAATTTAATTGACCCGTGTTTTTGTATTTCTTTTTTCTTTTCTTTTATTTTTATTGAAAAAAGGTTTACTTTTACTGTGAAAACTGAAAACCATCGGGCAGTAAAAGGAAGGGGCTTTTCACTTCTCTTCTGTTCTCTTCTCTTCTCTTCGTATTCTCCTCTGCGTTTTTCACCCGAGGCGGCTGGTCGATCTCGATCAGAGAAGAAGGGGAGACGCCGGTCGGACAGGTCCGACTAGGCCAGAGAAAGGATTTTCCGGGCAGGGGAGGTGGAGGTAAGGCCGCCGCAGGGGAGGTGGAGGTAAGGCCGCCGCTGTGGAGGCGCTCGATCGGGCGGCGGTGAAGTCACTCGATCGGACGGGGAGTTGCAGGTAAGCCGCCGAATCTTCTAACCTTCTCCATCCTTTTCGTTCCTTTCTTCCTTTACTCTTCTTATCGTGCCCAATTTGTATTACTGAAACCCTAAAAATTTCCCAATATGAAATCGACAGAAACAAAGGTGCTTGGCAAGACGCAAAGGTGCTTTTGGGGCAGACACAAAGGTGCTTGCTGTTAGTTCCCTTTTGGCCCTTTTTATGACAGTCATGCGAAGTGTTGAAAGGGGAAAAGTTAGAAAATGATAAAAGTTCTTGACTGTGGGGATTTTGCTGTCGTTTTCTAGGTTGTTTGTCACGTTTGGCGAGCAATATGGGGGTACATGTGCGGCAACCAGATGCTCCCATCCCTAAATATCGTAAGTGTAGTCACTTTCTCATCTTTGTGGGTGGAACGTGTGTATAGTAGTTGTTTATTAGGTTGACAACAACATAGTGTATGCTATTTCGATAGAAAATTATTTCTTTTGTCTTTAGTCCATTGTCAGTTTGTCTTTATGGTGAACATAGGTAGTTAACATGCTGGTGGATGGCCTTTATTGCTAGTACGTACTACTGCTTGGAGGCATGATTCTTTTTTCTGACCTTTTTCTTTTTCAAATAAATAGGTGATTGTAATGGAGAATTCAGCTTTGAAGTTCATGTTGATTATCAAATCAAAAAGAAGAGAGGGAAGCATTTTATGCAGGATGAGACTATTGTGTACTATGACCACGCTGATATCGATCTGCTCTCCATTCTGGACTTGGTAGACATCTACAAGGAGTGTGGTGGGAAGATTCCGAAACCAAAGTTTTATTGGAAAGCTCCCCTTGATGAATCAATGACAGAGATTACCAGAGATGAAGACTTATTGGAAATGGCCGGAGCAGCTAATGAACCTCCCAGGATCATTGAACTTTATGCTATGGCTGAGCATGAAGTTCTGGACTTTATGGATAGTGATGATGAAGAAGATGCAACTCCACTTGCAGAAAAGGAAGTAACAGTAGGCGAGGATGGAGATAGTGACAATGATTATGAAGATGGAGATAGTGACAATGATTATGAAGGAGAGGATGAAGATAGTGACTTTGAGGGCGATTCTGAGTCGGATATTAGCATTTGTGATGATATAAACTATGAGAAGAATGTGAATTTAGACGTAGAGGCTGATATGAGGATGTTTGGTGGAGGAGATGACGGCCTTGGTGATGCAGAAGTGGACGAAGAGGAGTCTGATCCTGTAGACTCAGATGATCGCAGATCTATCCATAGTTCGGATTCCGAATCTGATGCTGCAATTGTTCCAGATTTCCGGGTGGACCGAGACATGGAGAAGCCAACCTTTGCTATTTCTCAAAAATTCAGCAGCTTTGGTGTGTTGAAGGATGCACTCAAGCAATATTCTTTCATTGAGAAACGACCAATATTCTTCAAACGAAGTGATGGTAAGAGGCTACAAGTGATGTGCGAGGCACCATGTGATTGGTACATATGGGCATCCAAGTTGAAAGATGAAGATGCTGTGAAGATCACTAGGTGCAAACTTGAGCACACAGCAGATTGCACCTTAACATTCAACAATAGGTTTGCAACATACAAGTTCTTGGGGGATAAAATGACTAAGAAGGTGGCAGCAGATCACAGTATGAGTAAGAAATTGTTGAAGCAAATTGTGAAGGAAGATTATAGGGAGGAGATTGGGGATATGAAGGCATGGAGAATCAAGAAGACAGCAAAAGCTTATATCATTATGCTGCAGAGTTGAGGAGCAACCCAAACTCCACTGTTGTAGTTGAGCAACGAGAACAAGTGTTCAATCGCATGTATGTATGCTTTGAGGCATCAATGAAAGGTTTTAGAGCAGGCTGCAGGCAAGTCATATGCATCGATGGATGCTTCCTCAAGCATGATTATGGTGGCCAGCTGCTATCTGCCGTTGGTATTGATGCGAACGAGCAATATTTTCCCATCGCATTTGCTCATGTTGAGGTGGAGAACAAGGATAATTGGCTTTGGTTCCTGCAGCTTTTGGGAACCGATTTGCATATTAATGATAATCCTGGATGGACATTCATTTCTGACAAGCAAAAGGTGCATTTTTTACTCATTCTTGCTGCCTTAAATTTATTTGCTGCTGCTGTAATTTTTTTTTTTTGTTGACAAGCTGCTGTAAAATAAACATTTGTGTTAACCATTGCTATAATTTTCATTCTGAAGGGTCTAATGCCAGCACTAGATGAGGTGTTTCCCTCTAGTGAGAAGCGTCATTGTACCAGGCATCTTGTGACCAATCTAAGTGCTGCATGTGGATCATCAGCGAGGGTTAAGGAGCTATTCTGGGAAGCAGCTAGAGCCACCACTGTCTCTGAATTTCAAGTTGCTATGAGAAGCCTGTTGGATTACAACAAGCCCTTTTATGATTGGCTTGTTGACAAGCCATACTACCATTGGTCCAGGTCGCATTTTCAGTGTCTCGTTTTAACAGATATGGACACGAACAACCTGGTTGAGAGCTGGAATAATGTCATCGTCGATGAGAGGGATATGGGTCCTGTTGGCATGTGGGAAGGGATTAGGAGGAGGCTGATGGTGCTATATGCCAAAAGACGACGTATAGCCAACAAGTGGGCTGGTCCTTTGTGTAAAAATATTGAGAAGAATTTGCAAAAACTAGGAGAAGAAGCCCTTAAGTGGTCTGCTGAATCAAACGGCAACGGGGAGTTTGAGGTGAGGTGGCAAAATCAGCAAGTTGTTGTTAACTTGAAAAAAAAGAATTGTACTTGCAGAAGGTGGGATCTGACTGGAATCCCTTGCGAGCATGCCATTCAAGCAATTCGTAAGGCAAAGCTTAAGGTATACGACTTTGTGGCTGGTTGTTACTTCAAGGACTCGTGCATAAGAATTTATGAGAACTCCATATCACCAACGGCTGGTAGAGAGTATTGGCCTTTGTCTCAACTTGGTGACGTTGGAGTTCCTCCACTTCGTGACTCTATTAAGAGAGGAAGGCCAAAGAAAGCTAGAAGAAAGGAAGCTGGTGAAAAAGATTCTGGTAAGAAGAGGCAAAAGGGTCCTGAAAGAGAAGTTGCAAAACCAGTAAAGAAGAAGTATAAGTGTACTGATTGCGGAGAAGTTGGGCACAACAAGACATTTCATCAAAACCGAGAAGCAAAGGAGTTGGCAAAGAAAAAGAGGGCAGAAGCAAAACAGAAGGAAAAGGAAGATATACAGACAAGGAAACAGCTTGAAAGGGCAGAAAGAAACAGGCTAGCGGCATTGAAGAAGTTGCAAGCTAAGGCTGCCAAACAAGCATCAAGTCAAGTGATTGCAGATGTATAAGTTTATTATTTTGTCTTCTGTTTTCCATTTCTCATATTCAATATTTTTTTATAAGCCTACTGATTAATTTAACTTTGCAGGGAAGTTCCCAAAGGCCAGCAAGTCAATTATCCCAGCAACCAAGCCAAGACTCACATAGGAGCAATCTGTGAAGAGTAGGGTGTAGACTTTTGAAGCCATTCATGTCTATTGTAGTGCTTGGTTAGGACAAGCAGAATGGCTGTTTTGTTGACTATTTTGAAGTCATTCATGTCTATTGTAGTGCTTGGTTAGGACAAGCAGAATGGATGTCTTGTAATCGTATGTTGAACAAATTGTTGAACTTTAGGGGGACCAGCAATGGTAGTTAATGGCTGCTGTAAAACAGTTCCAGGTGTTCAGTAAAGTTTTTGGCTTTTGGTTAAATTCATGTTCAACAGGTTATGGTTGCATTTATGTTATGTATTGTTCTGTTCTATACAAGGTGTTACATATCAAAGGGAAAATATCAGAGTGATACAAACGAAAGAAAACCAGCAAGACAGTGGCATTCATGAAATGCAATTAAAATCATAGTGATACAGATGAAATATAAAAAACTCCGTAGTGGCTTCCGTGAAAAATAAATAACATTCCGGTGGTACAGATGAAACGGAAAGTACATTGCAATGGTACAATTGAAACATAAATACATTTCTAGTGATACAAGTGAAACAACATTTTCTTATTTTCCCAACAAGATGAAACCAAATACAATGACCATTACAGTGAAGATGCAAGCCATTTTGACAGTTATTTTGTAAGCTCTCCTTGGTTCCCTTCTCTCTAGATCTCGAATTCGACGATGGAGGCTGAGCACAACGTTTCGCATATGCTCATCAAGGCTGGTTCATACCATCTGAAATAATTGCATGCTCCATTCGTCTACAGAAGAAAGCACAATGAGGGGAATGGTTAGAACCTAAACCCAAACAGAAGGTACATAAAGCACGAAAGGAAGTGAGATTGAAATGGTCTTACCCCAAACTTGCCACATCCATAGAACCTCCGCCCTGGATTTGCATCGGTCCAACTTGTCCTCAAACTTGTTGGATTCCCACAGTGACAATATGGGTTAGTCATAGTTTAGATCGGTAACCTCCAGAGATCAAAAGTTGTTGCAGAGGAGAAGGAAGAAGATGGAGAAGGAAGAATAAGGAAAGTGGAAGAATAAGGAAGATGGAGAAGATGAAGGACGATGAAGAGGAGAGGTGTTGTCTGGAATTTGGATGGATGAGAAAGAACAAAAATGAGGTGAGAAGGGTTTTAATAGTGGGTAAGTTTTTTTCCCTCCCAAAAAGGTAAAATGTATTTGAAAATGGGGGAAAAGGGTTATTTTTCCCTCCCATTCCACTTCAGCACCTAAGTGCCGTCTTTTTTAGCCTCTCTGTCAGCCCAGTCAGCACTTCCGTTTGCCACGTCATCAAAAATCTGACGGCGTTAACGGAGTCTGACGGAGACTGACGGAGGGTGACCAACGGTGAAACGATTCGTAAAGTGAGTGGTTACATTGAAAGAAAATGAATTTGGGTGGCAAACGTGAAATGTTTATGTAATTCGAGTGACCAAATGTGTAATTTAGCCCTTTCAAGTGAGTAGACTCCTTTTAGTTACATAATTACGCTTGGTTGACATGGCTTAGTAAAGCAAGAGATATCCTTTTAAAAGAACATCAGAGGGAGGTCTGGCCTGACTTTTGTTGTTTTTTGTTGGTCAAAAGCTGTGGCTTTGATGTTTTATAGGTCGAAAAAGCAATACAAGTCAACCAAATAGAATATAGCTGGCTCCTGGCTGAGTTAGCTTGTATTTCTCAAAGAAAAGGGTATTGGATGAGCATCATATTAACAAAAAAAAACGCCAAACAACCATTTTACTTGTGGATCTGAAACATCAACTAGAAATTGTAGACAAAAAATGCACAGTTTTATTTTATGTATGGATTTGCATATTTCTACTGTCGATCTTGCAGAAACCATAAAAAATAGAGTTGATAGAGATATATATGATGAAGATATCGGGTGAATGGTTTTATTGTGATTAGGGAAATACTAACTTGGATCATGTCAAGCCTAGGCGACGCTGGTGGCTTTTTGCTTTCTCTCCCACTATCTGCTTCTAGCCTTCTACTCAACTTCACATGTGCTTTTGCTGAGCTTGAGCCTCGAAACGGTTCCCTCTCTCTACTGTGTTTGCAGTTTCTTTGTCTCCTCTTTGTAATAGTTGGACTGTATTTTTGTTAAAAAAGGATGTAAAAGTCGTCTTTCTCTATGATACAGACTGTTTCTGTAGCTTTTTGCTGCTGTAAGAAAAAGAAAGAAAGAGGAAGCTGTCCCTCTGTAAAAACTAAAAAGGAAGCAAAGAAGAAGAAGAAAGAGATATTTTTGTTTGGCCCAGCCTTTCCCTTCTCCTCTCTGTCCTCCTAGAAAGCAGAGCCAAGAGGCTTTTTATACACTATGTTTGGGAAGGGGTGTAAATGGAAGGGGTGCAAGTTGTGTTTACCCCGTTTGGTTATTTTGTAACAGTAGGGGGGTGCAAAACGTGAGCGTAAATTCACTGTTTCGGCTTACCCCAAATTGGGGTGCAAGGGAAGGAAGGAAGGAAGGGAGGGGGAAGGGGGAGAAGGGGAATTATGAATTTTTAATTAGATTATAATTACATAATAATTAATATTATTAAATTTTTCTTATATCTATATTAGTGTAGAAGTTGTTTGGGGTTGATCATTTGACTCAGAGCAAGTTTGTCAATGTTTGCCTCGTCAAACTTGTTGAAATGATAGAGGCGTGACAATGGCTCCTAAGTTTCGGTCCACACCAAAACCTCTTTGAAGTTGAGGTTCTCATCGATGAGGTGGAGTCTCAAGTCACGAGCATGTGGCATGACAGGTGATGGAAGCTCGTGCACTTGATGCAGATGAAGTCTCCACCCTCGAGCCCTCTTCTTCTATTCTCTCGTCTCATTACCCAAAACCAGATATGACATCGATTGACCACCATCGCGTCCACCAAGAGGGACCAATGTCGATGTGGCCTTGGTCTGGCAAAGAGACACTGCAAATGGGTCCTTGCGAAGTAGTTCCTCAAAGTTTGTTGGAGATATCACATGTAACTCATGGCTGGTGCAAGCCTCTTCCACCTCAACTTCGTCCTCGGCCTGGATGCCAATTGCTTCTTCAACCTCCCTTCCTTCTTCATGTGGTATCACCCCTGGGAAATGATCAAGAACTCCTTCTGCTTCACTTTCGACATCCTCCACAACTTCTTTCTGCACCCTTTCTTGCTCTTCTTCTTCCAGCACAGATTGGAGGGCTAGTCACCAAGCAATTTCTTTGATGAGATCTTCTTGCATCTTCTCACTCATGCTCGCCTTTTCAAAGCTCAGTGTGGGATGTGGGAAGGTGTAGTCGACTACGACATGACATTCTTGATCATGATCATCACGGGAGCTCTCCGTGACAACTTCTGTGTGCTCCACAATGTCTTCATAACCTTCGTCTTCCTCCTCCTCTTCTAGTATAGTAGCCTAAGGGTGATCTTGATCAGGCTGTGCATAAGATTTCTCAAGATCATCGAGGCTCCTCTTAATGCTTAGGAGGATCTCCTCTGTTTCATGATAGGCCTGGGTACAAAGATCCATCCTAGAGCATGATCTCTCACTGTCTCGAGCAAACTGCTCCATGAGAAGCCTCAATTCATAGTTTGGATCTGGCTCTGGAGTGTTGCATGGCTGTGCAGAATGGCCCGTGAAGGCCGCCATGGGTAACTCCTGCTCCGATGGCCCTTCTGGTTGTGGGAGAAATTCTTCTTGGTAATGAGGTTGTTCTTGATATGCCCAGGGATTTGATTGTTCTTCGTAGTAAGGGGGTTGGTACTGGAACCCGGATCCATAGTCTTCTCCTCCTTGATTGCTCCAGGGAGTGTTGGATAATACCACTCGGATGGTGGTGGATACCCCCAATGGTTGGAGAAGCCATATCTGCACCAACAAAAACAAAAACACCCAAGTGAAAAGCAAGGGTGGAAAAGAAAATAAAAACGCTAAAATAACAAACTTCTGCCTTTCCTAATAATCTGAAAGTCCCCGGCAACGGCGCCAAAAACTTGACTCGCTATGACACAACTCCTAACAATGGCCAAATGTAACCAATGAAAGGGACTACAGTATAGTGGCTCAAGTAATAAATATCGAATCCACGGGTCTCTAGAGTTACTATTACTCAACTTCAGTTCATTATCTAGCAAACCAGATTAAGATGGAAGAACTAAAACTACTCTAACAAACTACAGTTAAAGTTAATCTAATTAGAGGTTGGGAACTCACTTATGTATGATTCCCCCTAGCCACTAGCCAGATTAATGGTTGATGATCTCTAACTTGTTTAACTTTTATTCACAATGCGGAGCATCCTTGACTAAACCTTGAATCACGACGAAAGGATCAAGGCCCTCTTGAGTCAATTGCCTAGAGGGACGTATCCTTCTCTAGAACAACCGATCAAGGCATTCTGAACTAAATTCCCTCTATCGAATGAGGTTCTCAATCGATACAAAGCATTGAATCAACCCTCGACTAAAGCAATCGATCCAATACTATCAATCTATGGTGCTCTATTAACCTAATAAGGTATTCGCTCTCATAAGATCAAAGCAGAATCAATAATATCGACTAAAGCAGAATTGAATCATGAAAACGTGCATAGATTGAATATGAACTCAAGATTATCAAGTAGGAGTACTCATACAATCATCCAATCAAACAAACATAGCTTGGGTTCCTCAAAACCTAAGTGAAGGGAAGTTACTCCATAGAGAAGAGAGAGACTGCAGTAAGAATATTAGATGATCAGTCTTCAAGTCCAGGCTTGTTCCTCGAGCTTCCAAGGTGAAGAAATCCTCCAATTCCACTCCAAGAATGCCCTCAAATCGCCCTCTCTCTCTCTTTGGTTCGTCACTAGGGTGTTTGGGATCCAAAACCCAGCTCTCCACTGCAAAAACGCACAAACCAGTCTTTTAACAACCTGCGTTCGCGATCCCCGGTCATAATCCCCGGTCGGGTATTTTAGGTGGCGACCAGGGATTGTTGAAACGCACCGTCGAGGACAGGAGATTAATCCCCGGTCAAGGTCAAGAATACCCGACCGAGGATTTACTCTGCTTCTCAAACGCCCAAAAGTGATTTTCCCCGGTCTGCTCAGATTAATACCCGGCCGGGTATTTTTGTTCGTGGCCGGGTATTTTACTCCTCCAGCACACTTCAACTCAAACGTGCTCCTTTCGACCCGAAACACGTTTCTTCACCTCGATGCCAACGCCAAGCCCTGAAATATGACATAAACACACAACCTAGGTAAATTCGGCTTAAAACACGAGAATCAACATATC